ACGCTGAAGATGATGGCCTTTCCGCTCAACGCCGAGGCCGATCCCTTCCAGCCCCGACTTCCTGTTCATGTGAATGCAGAGCTCGCTCCTGGTTGCTGGGCACCGCCAGCCACAGATGCGAGCCGCTACGACGACCTTCCTGATTTACATCATGGTGACGCTCCTGATGTTCCTGCTCCTCGAGAGCCCGCTGGTCATCGAGAGCCTGCTGGTCTTCGGGCGCCTGCTGGTCTGGAGCCTGGAAAACTCGCTGCTCGCCGAGAACCTTATGATCTTCAAGCTGTTCCTGCTGACGACCTTCCTGAGCCGTGTCGTTTCGAACTTCCTGGTCATTTGGATCCTCCTGAAGTGGGTCTATACAACTTTCGTGGAGATCCCGCTGGTCCTCATGATGTTCCTGCTGCTCATCGAGAGCCTGCTGGTCTTCATGATGTTCCTCCTCATCGAGGGCCTGCTGATCTTCGTGAGCCTGCTGGTCTTCGAGAGCCTGCTGGTCCTCGAGATCCTGGGGAACTCTTTCCTCATCGAGAGCCTGCTGGTCTTCGAGCGGTGCCTGCTGTACCTGTACGCTTTCGTCTCGACGTCGACCTCCAGAAGGAGGCTGTGTTGGCCGAGTCTGGCCCTTCTACTCACGTCGTTGTTCCTGGTGCTGCTTGGTGGAGTGCTCGTGATGCCGTGGCGCGCGTCTGGCTCAGAGCACCTGGTCAAGCTGTTCGTGTGCATCGTCGACCTCACGCCGTCGTTCCCGGTGCTGATTGGTGGAATGCTCGGGATGCCGTGGCACGTGCCTGGCTCAGAGCACATGCTGCTCAGGCAACGCCGTTCCACTTCCCGCCGAACTCGTTCCGGCCACCAGATGATGGTGACCATCTTGATCGGCCCGCTCTACGTGTCAACCGCGGGAAGCGGGCTGTCTGAGCTGGCCCTTGCTCTGCGAGAGGCTGTCTTGAGATCTGTCTCTAGCGCCGCCCCGCATGATTTAAGGAGTGTTAATTAAGTTAACACTCGTTGCACTCTGTTTCGGGCCCTCGATTTTTCGTTGTCCCTGTGTGTTCGTCCGGGTCCCTCGCTCGGCTCTGTCTGGGTTCCTGGGGTCCGTCCCTCGTCTCTTTCGGCCCTTCCTTCGGGCCCCTCGCTCGTCGTTTCGGCGCCACGGGCAGGAGTGTTCGGCAGACGATCACCCGCGAGCAAATCAAAAGTCGATGGGGCCCCCCGCAGGACGGGCAGGCCGCCGTAAGATCGGGCCTGGTGGTGCTCCATTTTCTCGTCGGGCTGTGTGTCGCTCCGCAGCGAAAGATCTTCAAGTGGATCCTGTCCTCCAGGGTCAGCGAGTCCCGGAAAGTGGACCGCGCTCGTGCCGAGGAGGCTTCAAGGTCGATCTGGTCGACCCCCTCCGAGTCGCGGCCAGACGCGGATGCGTGGGCAAGAGCTCTCGCCCGGCATACTTGGCGAAGGAGGTGCGGCACCATCTCTTCGTCGCTCCAGAAGATGTGTCTGCGCCCGCACAATCGGCGAACTCGGACATCAGGCTCGTCCACCGAGCGTCGGAACTGCACTCCGCGCTCTGGGTCGTGCTGCAGGAACTCGAAATCTATGGCATCGAAGAACGTCGTGAAATTCACCTCGAGGAATGTACTCCAGCGGAGGTCCCAGGTGGTGACGCGATCAATGGCCGTGAGCACCGCGCTGAAGATGGGGTGCAGGTCGATATTCGAGGCCCAGAAACGGCCTCGGCACCACCAAGTGCACCTCGTCGAAAGTACCGCTGACATCGCTGCTGGGACGACGTCGGGCGGTGGCAGAGAGAAAACCGGGGAACACCAAGTCCACAACGGTTTAGCGTAGGCCCGGACCGCCGTGGCCCTGGCTTCGCTGCCTCCCGGGAGGCCTCGGATGGCGTGCAAGCACTTGCGGAGCTTGGTCCAGCCCCCGGCAGGCGTAATCGGCTCATCCGGAGCATCAGGGACAGCGAGGATGCCGATGTGCTCGATCTGCGTCCTGTCCCCTCGCTTCCAGACCCGGCGCTTCCCGACGTTCTCGATAGCGCCCGTGCTTGAGTCGAAGGCGTTGGTGGCCTGCGCGTCCGACTCCATCTGCGGGACGGAGGCGATGACGGCGGACCTGTCGTCCATGAAAAGGAACTTGGTGCCGTTGATTTCCCAGGGGGAAAGTACGTGGCACAGGACCTTCGGCGCCGTGCTGTCCCCGTGAGCGATGCTGCGCGTAGGCCAGAGTGTCTCACCGGCCAGCTCCCCCGCCACCTGGCACCTCCGAGGGCCCCGCCAGGCAGCGTTAGTCACCGCCCGCACTCGGCGTGGCGTCCGGGCGTTGCGGAGCGCCGCGTCTGCCACCGCATGCGGCACGTTGTCTTAGCACCTGGACATGTCGCGTTCCAGTCCGCACGAGCCGTGGCCCGCCCCAGTGTACCGTAGCCGTGCCGTCTTTTATCCCAGAAGAGGTGGCTGATGACTGTGGCAGCTACCATGCTCGCACGCAATGATCCCAGAAGTGTAGCCGATGCTTTGATAACCCGTACGTGGTGCTCCGCTTCTTGACGGCATGTTGTGCTCTATGGTGCACGGATGCGGCGGTGTTCCGCGCCGCCGAAGAGCGGCCGTACGTCGGTCTCGCAGTCCACAGAGCGGATCTGCGTGCACCCCATCGGGCGCGCGCGACCACCTTGGGGTCTCCCTGCAAACGACGCTCACAGCCTCCCGATTGGTCCCTCTCCGCCACCGCCGCGTCCGAGTTTGGCGAGAGGACCCTGGGCGCGGTACCAGTGCGCTTGAGGGGAAGTGGCTGAGGCAGAGGAAGTGGAGGAGGAGGAGGAGGAGAAGGAGGAGGAGGAGGAGGAGGAGGCGGATCTAGAGGCTTCCCACCACCCCTCGTCGTACGCGTCGTCCTACTCGTCGTATTCGTTGTCCGGTTCAGTCCGGTTCGGAGGGGAGGTCTGGCCCGTTTCAGGGTAGACTTCGAAGTTTGTTCGGTTTTGACTTGGTTCGAGTGTCGAAAACGACCGTCTCGGTTCGGTTCGGTCCGCGTTGAAAAAATGACCAGTTCGCCACGGTTCCGTTCGGCCTGGTTCGGTTCGGGCAGATCGGTTCGCTTCCGGCGCCATCTAGTAGGCATGATTGTTGCCGTCGCCAAGGTCGTGGTCGTCCGTTGTCGTCATCGTTGTCGAGGTCGTCGCAGTCGTTGTCGAGGTCGTCGCAGTCGTCGTCGTCGTCGTCGTCGTCGTCGTCGTCGTCGTCGTCGTCGTCGTCGTCAAAATCGAGTTTGCAATGTGGAGCGTTTGCGCTAGAACCGAAGCGCGCGCGAAGCGTTCGCGTGGTTCTATTATCTGTATATATATATACACACACGTACACATGGTATCCTGTGGGACGAGGCCCTGGGGCCCTGTCCAGGGAACTCCGCGCGCTATGGTGGGACCGCCCCCCCCCACCCAGGCGCAGCTTCGGGGCTCCGAGACGGCCTAAAGGAGCTCGACGAGTGTTCACGACAGCTTCCGGAGTGCGCTGGAGGCGCCCCGAGACCGCCTCGAGAGCGCTTCCAGGCGGCCCAGGATGAGTTCCAGGCGCTCCAGCGGCGCCCCCAGAGGCATAAGAGGTCGACAAGCTTCTCCTCCAGAGCGTCGGAGAAATAACACATGATCGATTTCCCATAGGTTTTGGACGAATTTTGAGCTCCCCGACCTTCGCCTGCTTCCCGACCGCCCAAGACGGCCCAGTAAGGCTCCGAAGGCCGCCTCTCTGAGAGCCCCAAGGAGGCTGCCACGAGGGTCGCCACCCACCAAGCCACCCCGACCCCACCCGCAGGCCCAAACTTTTGCTCTCCCGCCCACCAGACTATTCCCACCCAGCCCGAAGGTCCCAGTTTGCCCTCCATTCCCAGTTGGGTCCCACCCACCAAAACCATTCCCAGAAGTCACGACGTCGGAGGTCTGGGTGGGTCTCTGCGCCAGGCCCCTTGTGCAGCACCGCCGAGATGCTAACAGACGGACCGCTCTGGGCTCAGGAGTCACCGCCCAACAAACCGCCCCGACCCAACCCGAAGGCCCAAATTTTTCTCGATTTCCAGTGGGGGGGCGTCGGGGAACACTGGACCCCCGTGCCCCCCCGAACCCGAAACCTGGGTCTTCGGGTTGGGTCGGGGGGTGGGGGCTGGCAGGTAGTCCGAGGCTCCTCCGGAGCGCCTCGCGACGATCGGGGCACCGCAGAACGCCCACGGCGAGACGCGGCTGCCGGACAGCATCCCGAGTTTGAACAACCGCTGAGAACCGACGATGCCGTCCGAAAACCTTGCACCTCGACCCCCCCCCCGCCCCCCTCCCACCCCCCTCCCACCCCCCTCCCCCCTCGTGCTCCCGCTGCAGCGCTGGCCTCATTTCCAGTGCCATGCCATGGCATGCAATGCGCTGCTATGGTGCGTTCCGCTGTGCGATGCCATCCCTTCAGCTGCAACGCTCTGATCTGTAGTGCTTGACTACGCAGCGCCACGCCGTGCTGCGTCGTGCTGC